GCTCTCTCTCACCCTCCCGGCTATCTGCTATGGTTTCATCTTTGCTTCCTTCCCCTGAACAGTAATCATCTCTTGATGTTAACCGTGCTACTGATACTTTCTGCTCCACTCTTACGTCTTTAGACACTGTCTGCCCCTTGTCTTCCAGGCCAGCTCGTACCACCTCTTCTGCCCCTTGGCTATCTGATGTTCTTCGTGAGTATCGTTCTAACCTCAGAGCTGCAGAAAGAGTACGGCACAAATCACAAAATCCTACTGACCTTAATGTATATCGATCACTCCTCTCTTCATTCTCTGCTAATGCCTCCACTGCTAAAAGGACATACTATCACAACGAAATTAACAATTCGCCTAACTCTCGCATGCTCTTTAAAACATTTTCCTCAATCGTGAATAAAAGCTTTATAAACTATAAAATACTCATTGTTTGTTGTGTTTGTTTTAATACAGTAGTTGATTGAGTCAATGTATTTAATAGTTAAAATGACTACAACTTTAGTTTTTCGTCACTACCGTCAGATATTTTGATAATATTTCATTACAATATTTTATATTTGTTGAGGAATTGTTGGTCACATGTGAAAGTATAATCTGTCTGCTAATATGATAATGTGTTTTGAAATGTTAAAAACATCTTGTTTGTTGTTAAATATAAAGTTACAATTATATTACACAGTCCAAAAGCTGGAGGTTGCATCAAAGCATAGCTCAGTAGCTACATATTTGTTTTCAATTTTGCACCCTGTTTTGTCCCACTTTTCAAGAATCAGTTAACACTGATTTATATTAAATCTAATTACACTTATTTAAAGATGAATGGATTGGATTTACTGGGACCCCAGTAGGTCCTTGCATCTCAGACTCTGTCTGGATTTGTTGTGGGTGGGACTTACATGGGGCCTGGGACTCTTGCCTTGCTGCCATCTTCCTGCATTCCCTCATGCTAGGTTACATGCCTCTCTTTTTTAATGAATCACATATTAGCTGAGATACACACATATTTATTAAGAGCTTAACAATGAATAAAATGTGGTGGTGGCCTGGCCTTCGCCATGGGGTGTTCATACATTGCATGCCTTAAATTTTTTTGTTTTTTTATGCATCACACACTATCTGAGACACATGCACATTTATTAAGAAAAACACAAGGGTAAGCTACCATATGTGTGGTATGGTATCCATCCAGTTAGGATCATCAACCATAACTCCTTCAAAAACAGCTAGAAACCTTGGAGTTGTGATTGATGATAAGCTGAATTTCTCAGACCACATTGCTAAAACTGCCCGGTCCTGCAGATTTGCTTTATACAACATTAGGAAGAGCAGGCCCTTTCTTTCAGAACATGCAATACAACTCCTTGTTCAAGCTCTTGTTCTATCCAGGCTGGACTATTGCAATGCTCTCTTTGCAGGTCTTCCAGCCACTTCTATCAAACCTCTACAATTAATCCAAAATGCCGCTGCAAGATTAATCTTTAATGAGCCGAAAAGAACGCACGTCACACCTCTGTTCATCAATTTGCACTGGCTACCAGTAGCTGCTCGCATTAAATTCAAGGCACTAATGTTTGCCTAAAAACCACCACTGACTCTGCACCCATTTACCTAAATTCATTACTTCAGAGTTATGTGGCCTCTAGAACCTTGCGTTCTGCAAATGAATGGCGTATTATTGTGCAATCTCAAAGAGGCACAAAATCACTTTCACAGACTTTATTAACTGTTCCCTCCTGGTGGAATGACCTGCCCAAATCAATCCGAGCAGCTGAGTCCTTAACCATCTTCAAGAAATGACTAAAAACACACACAAAAAACAACTTTATTTGACCCTCTAACTCTACCACTTTCTATTCTATTTTAATTCTACTTCATCTATATTTATCTTCTTTTTTTTTTTATAAAAAAAAAAAAACACTAGCTTTCTATTTTTTCTATATATATATATATTAGAGACCGACCGATATATCTTTGAACGGCCATATCTCCGTAACGGCGCAGCGAATCCGCACCAAATTCGAGGGATCTCTTCAGCTCAAGGAACCCTCTCGAACGTGAATCGAGTGTACGTCTCGAGGCCCTCTTTCGAATGAGACCACCCCCATGTGAATAGCCCCTGGGGTTCGGGAGTTACGGGTGGTTAAATTTGCGGTCCGGCACAGACTGATCTAACGATCCCAGGGGGCTACCGACGCGCGGAGGGTGGTGTTCGAGAGGGCTCCTCGAGCTGAAGGGATCCCCCGAATTTGGTGGAGATCCGCTGGCGCGTTCGAGAGATAGTGACACCAGTCAACACTTTCACTTCAGTAAGGAGGTCTCTTGTTCAGTGCCCTGCGAAGTGGACTTCACATGAAATGCCACCATGATTCCAGTTCCAAGGGAACATACACGTTACATTCAAAGGGCATTAAAGTGCACGAGACGTGAATTTATATTGTATTTATTTACAGAGGTAGGGGAGGAGCGGGGCACAAAGTAACACTTTTTGACTTTCTCAGTTTGTGTAAATCCACATGGGGTTCAGAATATCTATATATTTTTTATCCACGGTAATTTTACACTTGTCTAGTACAAATATGTCGCTTTGTTTCATCATTACAGTGTATACGTTTTTCTTTATTTTCCCTCAAAAAATGGAAGTGAAATGTGACAACATGCCCCGTAGGTGGAACACATTGTAACATCTGAGGGGCACGTTGTAACTTGACCATATGACAGCTTAAAATCTTATTTGATCGAATGAAAAAAATATACAAGACAAACTAAAATATTTTGTTATATATATATATATATTTTTTTATATATAAAAATAAAATAGTAAATAAATAAATAAATGTATTTATTAATAACATTTATTACAATTAATTTATTAATCTCTCTCTATATATATATAAATAAATAAATAAATATTGTGTATAATATATAATGTTATTGAAAACATTTTGATTAAAAAGCAGCCTTTAAATAAATATTTTACTATAAAAATAAGATCTATGCAGGGAAATATAACATTTAAAAATAAAATAATAATAAAATAATAAATAAATACATGTATTATTAATACATTTATTTAGCTCCACATACATATAATACATAAATAAATAAAACATTTATTTAGCTCTACACACACACACACAC